CATAAAACCGTGTCAATAATGTTTCTGGTTCGGAACAGCGGCGGTTTTTGCGAAACATCGCACGGCGATCCACGGCCGGCGCGCGCGGAAGCCGGCAACCGGCAGTGGCGCGGAACGCGCGAGGCGGGCCGACGCTGCTACATTAATGGGGCTGCGCATCATAAAGATACGGTCAAAACACGTACAACTATTGACCATTGCACTCAGAATTGAAGAAGAAGCATGCCTGTTTAGGGTTTGTCTCGCTACATGACACGGTCCTGTATGCATGAGATTGTAAACATGAATAGTTCAGTTTCCGGGAAACCTTGACCTTTGACCTCGCATAATGGGGTCAATTATTAAGTTATTAGAATAAAACGTCTTGATAATGGTGAGCTCTCATTGAGCCCAATCCACTGGTGCTTTCCCCTAAGCTCTATCTTTATTAGTTTGAGAACATCAGGGGGGTCGATTCGAACCACCTCCCCCCCCCTACTATAAGCCCGCGCTATGAAAAACGGCGAATCAGGGAGAGGGGTAAAGGATATTGTATACGTCCCATAAACGTGGATGGCAAGTTGCGCACTTTTCCTCATGGTTCATCTTTAGATTCATGTAAGCATTTACAAAAAACCGAACCAAGTCAACTGTTCTCTATGCTGTCTGCGGCCTCTGGAGGTTAGCCTTTGTTTTGGTTGAATCGCTGGGGTCAATGTGGGCCGGTGCACACTTCGTACGTCAATTTAAGAGTATGACTATCATGAAAATTTCAGAGAAGGGAAAATTGGAATGACATAAGAAAAGGAGGGGGAAGAGACAAGGACATGTCACAAGGACACGAGGAAATTACAAAAGAAGACGAGCAAGGGGTGGCAAAATTACTGACATGTTACCGACTTCGGCTCCTGGATTCTGCTCTCAAGCGGGGGGAAAGAGAGGGAGCAGTTCTGAACTCTGGCTGTGTCATGGCCCCTTGTCACTGCTTTAAGCTATGCGGTCGCTAGAGTTCCATAAAGAGGGTCGTGATGACGTGCAACGACCCTTAAAACTAGAGCCAGAAGACCATGCAGAACAGGGGTGCCATTTCATATTGTTTTGGTGGGCAGGGGCTAAGCCACCCTAATACTGACTTGAGCCGCCTCTCATCCCCCTTAAATGCATCCCAGTAAAAGTGGGATACTGAACCAATGCAGGAGTGATACAAGTGCATTTTTTGCTGCCGCCGAACTTCTGCGGGCAAAATTGTCACCAGCAAGGTAGCGCGATACAGCCTTCTGTGCCCCCCCCCCCCCCAAACAGCCCAGGTTTTGCGTCTTATGTGGTCAGGGACAATGGACATCCCGTCACCCCCTTCCCCCATAACCTGCAGAATCTCCAGCCATAACTTCAGTCGTGGATAGATGGTTTTTATGGCTAATTCAGCGCGGACCCTGAGCAGCCAGAAAGAAATGTCAGAAATGTCAGTGGCTGGAGGGTTGCTTGGGGACCGGCCCAAATGGTCCCTGAATGGCATTTATGGAGCCCAACATTTGCAGTGTGCGCCTGAAACAGATAAAATTGTCTGCCATTGCAACCAAAATCCAACAAGGAGTACACCTATTTATATTCCATGCCACAACGGGGCATTGTTCTGCACATGAGTGTGCAGGGCTGAAAGCTGAGGATTTTTCACCGTGCTGTGCATAACATGCACAACCGTGTTCAACAGCGCGATTGGGCACGTTCGAACGTCACATCGTTTTGTCGTTTACTAGTCTTGCTGCTCACGAAGGCACTGTTGAATGTATTTTTAAAAGAAAACTGGATTTCTCAACCTTCGTTTCGGTGTTTTGAACCACTCGGAGTGCGTAATGATACCCAAAGTGCCTTTCTTTTCAAACTTTTTTAGAAAGCTAAGCACTCTGCTTGTTTGATCCCATTGTTGGACCGCAGAGAACATATACTTTAGTCTTTTTTATGAACAACAGTGCTTCGGGAAGTTGCAAGGCGTGATTAAGCCCTGAGGGTAAGTTCAGGGAATTATTTCACTTAGAGGTAAGCTCTACACCACTAAATGAGTACTTCTCACGCCTGAAATGGCGTTTTTCACTCACGGAAACTTCGTTCTTTTTCTTCGCATTTGCATGATTTTCTTGTTCAATCTTTTTGCGTGCCTTCTCTTACTACCACACCAGCCATAACCACGGGTATTAAATCGCTACGCCAGCAAACTATGTGCGGTAGCGTAACTGCCGCCACATAAGTCGCCTTCTGAAGTTGTTCGGGAAACTCCAAGCCGACGACAAACGCTTGATGACGAAAGCTGAGGCCGGCCGGCTGCAGCCCGCTTACTCTGAATCACAGCCAAATTCCAGAACTGCACGTGCAGAGGCGGATACAGGACCGACCGCCACATCCTCGCAGCGGTGAGCGCTCTAAGCGTGTTTCCCTTTCGTGGATGTACGGTGCCAAGCAGCGCCAGACCGCCGCTGCGCCATCCGCTGGGTCAAGGTGTCGTGCCGCACAAAACGCGGCCTGACGCCGCCACTGCCGCACGCGTCAGCGGCCGCGCGCCCACGGCCCCTGCCCGGATAAGGTGCCCACGCCGAGCTGTTTGTCGTGTGAGCAATGCTAGCAGGGCTCGCCGTGCTGGACGGATGTCCACGTCCGGTCGTAGGAGAGGACAGCCCGCCCGTCTGACCAGGATGTCATCGCATGTGACGGCCCATTCGCACCTCCACGATCGATGCGCCCCGGACTATGCGTGGCTGCATCCGTTACAAACGCCAGGTCCGGCAGCTTAATAACGAGGAATAACACACAGGCGGCAGTGTGTCATGAAACGATGAGGCTTGATGAAGGGGGAGAACGCACGCTAGAACGCTAACTACCTGGAACTTGAGGGGGGGGGGGCAGGCTTTGTGCAGCCAACGCACTACAGCACACAACATGCACAACCGGGCAGACAGACTCCGCCTGCCAGCTGTCACCCATCGGCCTGTCCATTTACATTTGGGCCGTTGCAGCCCTGTCTCCCGTGTCGGAGTAACCCGCTCATGCTTTGTATTCGGGCGTCACGAAGTCAGCCGTCGCCGTCATCGCCGCTGTTCGCCAAACGCGCGGCTGGCTCGCTCTGACGCCAACGGCGGACACTCCCTGTACATGTGCCATCGGCAGGCGGGACGGAAACATAGGTCACCTTATCGCTGGAAGCTGAAACACCGAACGGGTAATTTCACACGAGTTGTGCATAGGCAGCATCAAGACATCGACCTACATGTCTTGCCGCAATGCGCAAAGGCGCAGGCGGCACTGACGACGCGGGTTACCATGATTTGCGGCGGGGGCTACTGTTTGCTGCAAGCAAGGCCCAGCCCGTTGACACTTCCGCACTGCGAGCAGAGTAACAGACCCCACAAACACTAACAGGTGCAAAGCCCGGCGTGCCAATAAGATATCGATGTTGGTTTGCTCTGGCGCCGGAAACCATTGTTTCGGCCACATGCGGTGTATATTCACCTGGCTATCCGCCAGTCTTGTTACTTAAATTACGAACGTCGGGCTCGACGCGTCGCTGCCAATGTGACAATGAAAATGGAAAGCAACATAAAACGCTGCACTCCCACGGGGGGGGCTAAATTTGGGGCTAAAAATTGGAGCAGCCAAGGGGGCTCTGGAGAGCCCAATGCGCAGCAGTACCTACTTATTGTAATCCGAGGTAGGCACCACCGACGAGCGAGATATACCTGTAATCATTCATGTCATGGCAAGAGAGTTCAAGACAGGTTTTTGGTGTCCAATAGCTGGAGTTTTAGAAGTTTGAGCTGACTTTGCGACAGAACGCCATTCATTGGGTTGGTGGAGCGAAAGGAGGTCGCTGATAGGGAACGGTGGACATGATATGGCCTCATTTTGAATGACATTGTTCATCTGATGGTGACAGTTTGGCTGATATCCACAACGACTTTTACTAGAGGCCTTCACGGGTAAGATTGCCTTGATTCATTCATCAGCCACCCGTAGGTCGGTGGCTGCATAATCACCTGCTACACATTCAGAATCGGTGGAAACACTCGGCTACCTATTGGTTGGCCTTTACACGACACTAGTATTAAATTGTGCAACAGTTATATGAAAATAGACACCCAACTGACCCTAATGCGTTGATGATTGCAAAAGCGGTACGAAAAGTGTTGATTACTTTTTGTTTTCAAAGACTTAACCCAAATCTTCTGAATGGATGGATTTCTGAGATCAGAGCTGACGCAGTGCGTGCTTGTGCAGAACAAGCAGTGCTTATTGTGTAATCATTGACCTAACCATCCGATCGCGCAATTGCGGGGCAAGTACAGAATTTGGTGGCGAAAGCCTAACGTGCAGCAATGTTCGGCACAGTTCGTCCTGCCCTCTGACGTCATATGACCTTCGGCGTGGTCGCTGCCACCGACCGCAGGCCATACCTATCGGGGCAAGTGACAAGCACTTGAAGCGACTCGAACCTACCCCGCCACAGGATGGTGAATCGGAAAGCAGGCGCTCTAACCGACTGAGCCATCGACACGGCCACGGAATAATTTTTCCGCTAATTTTCCCCAAAACTATACCTAACCCAGCTGGTTACTCATTGTTTATGGGAACCATGAGCTTAGCCAGTCCGTTAAGTCCTCAAGTGACATCACATTGGGTGCGATTTTCCACAGGGAGCCTCGAAAGAGGCAGTTGCTCCGGAGTACGTCTGAATTTTGATGTGGTACCGTTGGGCCGACGAACGTTGTAACGAAATCACACACCCAACTCCCACTGAGACCACATAACTTTCGACAGGCTGCGCAATCAGCTCTATACGAGTGAGAGCCCCTGCCGCGTGACCCCGGACCGCTGAGGCGTCCCAGCCGCGGGTGACCTCGGCTGGGGCCAGGGAGTTCCGCGGCGGCCGGCGGTCCCGCGCTGCCCGCCCGCGCGCGCCGCAGCCGCCGGGCACGGATGTGAAACGACCGCGCGACCGGCGGCGCGCCGCAGTGGGCGCGGCGCGGCCGGTGGCGCACGGAGCGGCGCGTGGGACCGGCGGTACCGGACGGCGCGGCGTGCTGACGCGTCGGCGACTGGCGACGCGCGGGTGACGCAGGTAGGAGAGGGCTCGCGCTGACCCGTGTGAGGTGCAGCCAGCCACTGCTGACGCCTCAGGTGAGTGGTGTCCGGACTGGGACGGAGCTAAGCACAGGCAAGACCTGAGCCGCGTTCCCCATTAGCGACGAACCTACCTGAGTTGCTGCCTGTGACGTTTCGAGTGCCCTACGTCATGCATAAGCGACTATACGCCGAGCCGTAGGAGTTGCTGTGACGCACCACCTGTGACGTCAAGTTGCCACCTGTTGACGGCGTTTGGAAATGGGGAACGCGGCTCTGACGACATCCGGGACAGCCAGGTGCGTGGAAGGTTTCAACGTGATAGGTATCGAGGCCACAATGGACAGGACAGCGATAGTTTTCAAGGGCATGAGGCCATTGAGGCGGTGGCCATGATACATGAGGCAGAGCAGCCAGCGGTTATTCATAATGGACATCTATGTGGGACGATAGTCGTTAGCATGTCAGGCAGCACTGGCATCAAATGCGTCTTATCACGCACAGATAATCACGCCAGAAATCATGCTTATTGGCTGGCACGCAATATGACAATAGATGGATCATATGTACGACAATATACAATGAATATGACAAATGTAGGACAAGTACATTCTCCCAAAAGGAGGTAGATTTGTTACGCGCTTTAGAGGATGCAGGTTAGACCAGCACCAGCGTACGTGTCTTTGTAGAACCCACGGACGGCTGTTGGGATCAGACGCAGCACGGCAGGTGGAGCCGAACTCAAACGCGGAACGTTTTAGGCCGCTAGCTAACAGCCGGGCGTGGGAGCGAGGGCAAGGGCACTGGCCGCGAACGGCGGATGGCTCGCGGCGCACCCGACGAGCGCTGCGGCACCCCGCTGGAGCACCCCTCCCGGTCTGCTGATCACATCACACCACCGCCCTGCTATGCCGCACCCCGGATGATGTGACTGCAGACCGGATGTGTGCTGTTCACCCCGAGTGTAATCTCGTGACGCGGCTCGGCGTGTCCGCCTCAGAGAGGCCGGCGCGCTGCGCGGGCCCGGGACAGCGGGATCTCACCTTCGCTCCCCTCCGTCGACAGGGAGCCGGGCAGCTTCTGATCGGGTCCAGCGCAGACAGGTGCCAGCCGGGATGTCGCAGCAGACCATCTGCGTCCAGCGTCCGCTGCGCTGCGCGGATTGTGACGTCGACTTCCCCAGTACGTCTACGAGGGCGGGAGGGGAGGGCGTGATGCCGTGCTCTCTTGTGCGCATGGCGCCAGGTTTGGTACCGAGCCCCCCCCCCCCCCCCCCAGCACCTGTAGAGCTAGGCGTGATATTGAGTTCTCAGCATGCGTGGTGCTGGGTGAAACACCGAGTTCTCCGGTACGTGTGGTGTTGGGTGTGATATCGAGTTCACTGGCACGTGCGGTGCTGGGTGTGATATCGAGTTCTCCGGCACGTGTGCCTATCGAGGTTACCAGAGCGTTGGGGTTGGATATGCCGTGCGGGGCACGTGTCACGTCGTGCTCCCCCCCCCCCCCCCCCCATGTGCGTGTGTGTCTGGCTTCCCACCGCACGTTGGGCTGGGTGTGACGGTGCATTCTCCAGCACGTCTGGTGCTGGATGTGATGGGGAATCGTCCACCTCTGACGTATAGGGCTGGTGTGATGTCGAACCCACCAAGCGAACACAGCCCAGCGGCACGTGTGGGGCCGGCTGAGGTGTCCAGCTGGCGCTCGGTGACGAGCGTGACATTGCGCTGTTCGGTGCGAGTGTAGCTCGGCTCGACATCCATTGCCGTGCATGCCGAGCCGGATTCGCTGAAAACTCGGGAAGTGATTGCACAGCGTAATTGTTTTGTGACGTACGGGTGCGATACACGCGATTTTAAAAGGGGCTGAAAGTTCGCCGCGATTGAAGTCTTCAGTCCCGCGGCCACCCAACACTTTGGGCAGCGTGCAGCAACCAGTCAGTTGACAGCATCAGTCCCGTCGTCAGGCAACAGCCAAATCAGTCAACAGTCCCAGTCCCGTCTTCAGGCAACTTGTGGCCGTTTAAAAGTTACGGTGTGCACGTTAACAATTCACCGTTCATGAATCGGATACATGGCTACAAGGATACAAGGTTACTGTCCCCACCAGGCCTGCAGGTGTAGAACTTTTATCGAAGTTGCGTATTGGGTGAATAATTCCAGTTACGTTGCACGCGATTATGGCATTAACATTAAGCCATGTGTTTTAGATCTGTGGATGAAGGCCCTTCATGATGAAAAGGACCATCCAGACTGGTCATTTCATGGTAAGTTGGAAGAAAATGGTGCTGTGCATTTAGCGATGTATCCCCTTGATGTTGTTGCCTGCCTGTTCTCATCTTAAGATTTGCGACGTACTTGTTGCATAATTATTGAGGGGAGTGTCCCACATTTGTATGAAATTTTGAAGATCATTCAGCGCAGTTCACAACCCTGCCCTTTTTGAGACCAAACACCTCTAGTTTTTGGGCTATACGTACGAGAAGATGAGAAGACTATTTCTGAGAGATTGTTTCGTCGTCATCTAGGTATCTATGACGCTATAATTTCATTCGACTTTTGCCGTTTGATTAGCCATGCGGCCATCGAGGCCAATAAAAATGTTACAGTGGCGCCGTTTGTATATGGCGTTAGTGAGCACCATTTACAGATATGATGGTCGGCAATTGGCTCTCAGTCAACGTTGTACAGGGCATGATGACGTAATCAACAAGTGACGCATTGAATAGCGTGTTTACTAAACATTGATATTGCGTTGTCTAGAGCAGTCTTTTCCACTTAAAAATATTCTAATATCTATGAGTGAGATTATTCTATGATATCTGATGCTTGCTTCAATACCTTCGAATGTGGAGCATTTCCTTGTTCGCGGATGCATAGCAGGAATTAGTTCCCAGACGAATTTTCGCGGCATGAATTTCGTTTCCACTTTTCCCGCGGGAAATTGACCTTTCTGCATGCTTCAAGGTGCAGCCAGTTGTTTACTGATCTGCGCGGAAGTTTCTCTAATGCCTGCTGAAACGGTCAGCGTCCCAATTTCGTAAGTCCAGTTTCTAAGCCAGCAAGTTTTTCGGTTGGGTTGAGCTGGGTTTGACTGCGATGTTGGCTCAAGGCCTGCCGATCGTCATGATGTTCATGCTAAATGACGCTCCTATACCCCTGGTATTTCCGGATTTAAGGTCAGCTTCTTCGTTAATTGTATTATTGCTCTGCATGATGTTAAAGGGAAGGTTTCACATTTCAAGATATTGAAGCGAGCACCAGATATGACGAAAGAAGCTGACATATAACTATTGGTACACTTTTAAGAAGAAAAAACTGCCCTTTGCCACCACAGTTTCTTTGTTTAGTAAGTATGCTCTTCGGCAAGTCATTGTTTTATCACGTCATCGTACTTTGCACAATATTGTGCGAGGGCCAATTGACGGTCGTTATATCTGGGAATCTTGTTCACGAACGCCAGATATAACCGGCTCGACCATTACATTTTTCTCGGCCTCGATCACTGCATGGCTTATGGAATGGTAGGTATTGGATGACCTTATGATGGTGTTATGAATGTCAAGGTAACCACGAAATACTCTCCCCGAAGCACTCTCCTCCATTTTCGCGGGCTTAAAGCTCAGAAACTAGAGGGGTCTTAAGAACGGCAGGCCTGTGAGCTGCACCGAAACGGCTTCAAGATGGCTATTTCAGT